CAACAAAATGACTCTTTCACACCACAACTATTGCATTAAATGTGACACTTTTGTCATCTCAAGGAAGGACAAATGATTTCCCACTTTGACTCTCACACACACACATACACCACACCACACACAAACCTTTGGGGGAAAACAAAGTATTTTTTTTTCAAGATTATAATATACAAAGGAAACAGAATTCTCACATTTGTTGAAATGATAAGAAGTCCTGACATGAAACAGTGGATGTATCACATTCTTCCCAAGCCGTCAGATCAATAACCAGAGATAATCTACAAATATTTCATATTGCTATTATGTTGAAGTTGTGATTGTTATTCACTATTATTAACTTATCACAGCTGACTGGGGTGTGGTTTAGAGATAGTCGATTACTTTTGCTTCTGATCTTTCACAGAGACAGATATAATATTTCAATTACTTGACATCTTCATCTTTCTTTTACTTTCCATAGACATACATGTACCTTAGAGAGATATATGGCTCTTGTTTTATAAATAGACATCTACCTCAGATTTTTCAAAGATACACATGTCTTATCTTCCACACAGATATGAGATCTACCTCCAATTTTTCAAAGATACACATGTCTTATCCTCCACACAGATATGAGATAGACCTCACATTTTTCAAAGATACACGTCTTATTTTCCACAAAGATATGGGATCTACCTCAGATTTTTCAGAGATACACATGTGTCTTGTCTTCCACACAGGAACCAACTTCACATCTTGCTGAAGCAAAATCAACATACATACACAATCAAAGACGTAGCATTTCAACAAATCTCCCAGTGGTCAACTGAACACGCAACCCCCTTTTTTTTGTATTCATAAAGCAGGTCCTTGCTGAGGTTACCAATCCTTCGATTGAATCTGGAAATTGTAAAGAGAAGGATCAACAAGTCACTGCCCAAGATAAGTGTAGATACATAGCCTACACAAAACATATTTAATGCATGCTCAGAAAGGCGATGGACACCACCAAGTAGATCGTATATTCAATGAAATCATGAACCGGCTAGTTAATGGGGAGGGTGTTTAGCTTATAGTAGGTGTGGACTTTGGCATCTTGAAACCCTATATGTCATATTATTATGGTTAGCTAACAATGAATGTTGATAACAAAATATGTAATCAGGTAAACACAGTTCCAGTGTAATAGTAAATAGGTCATTGCCATAGTTTGCTTTATTCCTGTGCCAACAGAAAAATCACCTTGAATGTCCATCCCTTGTCCCTGGTAAAGCAGACTGCAGTCTCAGCAAAGTCAATAGCATACACATGCATTCAATGCATAAGGTAGCCACCAGAAGTACCAATACCAACTGGCCAACACTAGAAATGCAGTTCCCTGTTGATGGACAAAGCTGTTACAACAGTTAATCACATAAGGCACCACAACTTTCATGGCAACAGGCCACTCTTTTTCTGAATCCGCAGTTTATTACACAAACCACACTGAGCACGAGCCAAAAAGCACTCCAAATGACATCTGCAGCTCACAGTGTCGCACCATGTACTCAACTAAGTAACTGTTTGATGGAACTATATCCTTTCAGTCTATATATGGAGGAGAATGCAACGCTAACTATTTTTAGGAGCAAAACCTTGCCAGGACTAAATAAATTAAGCCTGCCTATCCATCAAAATAGTTGGAAGATTAACGGAATATATCAAGACTGCTGGGACAGGTCTAGCCAGATGGTAGGCTCTTGAGCATTTCCATTACACCATCCCTACTCCAAAACCTTGATACTTCCATTACACCATCCCTACTCCAAAACCTTGATACTTCCATTACACCATCCCTACTCCAAAACCTTGGTACTTCCATTACACCATCCCTACTCCAAAACCTTGATACTTCCATTACACCAACCCTACTCCAAAACCTTGATACTTCCATTACACCAACCCTACTCCAAAACCTTGATACTTCCATTACACCACCCCTACAACAAAACCTTGATACTTCTATTGAACCATCCATAGATCAAACACTGAATGTTGATACTTTGATCCAGCAAAGAGGGATGTACAAGAGAAAGAGAACAAGTTTTGAATCTAAGGAAACAGCACCTACATCTGAAGACGTGCTGTAGGACATAAGAGCACCTATGTGTATGACGGGTGTGCTGTAGGATATAAGAGCACCTATGTGTATGGTGGGTGTGCTGTAGGACATAAGAGCACCTATGTGTATGGCAGGTGTGCTGTAGGACATAAGAGCACCTATGTGTATGCTGGGTGTGTTGTAGGACATAAGAGCACCTTCGTGTATGGTGGGTGTGTTGTAGGACATAAGAGCACCTATGTGTATGCTGGGTGTGCTGTAGGACATAAGAGCACCTATGTGTATGGCAGGTAAGTTGTAGGACATAAGAGCACCTATGTGTATGGTGGGTGTGTTGTAGGACTTAAGAGCACCCATGTGTATGGTGGGTGTGCTGTAGGAAATAAGAGCACATGTGTATGGTGGGTGTGTTGTAGGATATAAGAGCACCTATGTGTATGGTGAGTGTGCTGTAGGATATAAGAGCACCTATGTGTATGGTGAGTGTGCTGTAGGATATAAGAGCACCTATGTGTATGGTGAGTGTGCTGTAGGATATAAGAGCACATGTGTATGGTGAGTGTGCTGTAGGATATAAGAGCACCTATGTGTATGGTGAGTGTGCTGTAGGATATAAGAGCACCTATGTGTATGGTGGGTGTGCTGTAGGATATAAGAGCACATGTGTATGGTGGGTGTGCTGTAGGATATAAGAGCACATGTGTATGGTGAGTGTGCTGTAGGATATAAGAGCACCTATGTGTATGGTGGGTGTGCTGTAGGATATAAGAGCACATGTGTATGGTGGGTGTGCTGTAGGATATAAGAGCACATGTGTATGGTGAGTGTGTTGTAGGATATAAGAGCGCATGTGTATGGTGGGTGTGTTGTAGGATATAAGAGCACCTATGTGTATGGTGAGTGTGCTGTAGGATATAAGAGCACATGTGTATGGTGGGTGTGCTGTAGGATATAAGAGCACCTATGTGTATGGTGAGTGTGCTGTAGGATATAAGAGCACCTGTGTATGGTCAGTGTGCTGTAGGATATAAGAGCACATGTGTATGGTGGGTGTGCTGTAGGATATAAGAGCACATGTGTATGGTGGGTGTGCTGTAGGATATAAGAGCACATGTGTATGGTGGGTGTGCTGTAGGATATAAGAGCACATGTGTATGGTGGGTGTGCTGTAGGATATAAGAGCACCTATGTGTATGGTGAGTGTGCTGTAGGATATAAGAGCACCTGTGTATGGTCAGTGTGCTGTAGGATATAAGAGCACATGTGTATGGTGGGTGTGCTGTAGGATATAAGAGCACATGTGTATGGTGGGTGTGCTGTAGGATATAAGAGCACATGTGTATGGTGGGTGTGCTGTAGGATATAAGAGCACATGTGTATGGTGGGTGTGCTGTAGGATATAAGAGCACATGTGTATGGTGAGTGTGCTGTAGGATATAAGAGCACATGTGTATGGTGGGTGTGCTGTAGGATATAAGAGCACATGTGTATGGTGGGTGTGCTGTAGGATATAAGAGCACATGTGTATGGTGAGTGTGCTGTAGGATATAAGAGCACATGTGTATGGTGGGTGTGCTGTAGGATATAAGAGCACATGTGTATGGTGAGTGTGCTGTAGGATATAAGAGCACATGTGTATGGTGGGTGTGCTGTAGGATATAAGAGCACCTATGTGTATGGTGACTGTGCTGTAGGATATAAGAGCACCTATGTGTATGGTGAGTGTGCTGTAGGACATAAGAGCACATGTGTATGGCGGGTGTGTTGTAGGACATAAGAGCACCTATGTGTATGGCACGTGTGCTTTGATTCTGATTCTTAAATCATGACGGCCCTATAACCCACAATTAGGTCACATCATCATCAACATGCTGTGCTCTTTGCAATCTCACACATGGCTGGCAGTCGATTGCGACCTATCCTGTGCAACCTTGTTGACATCATGGATGGAATCCGGTCCAGCAGCTTTGGCCTCTCTCTTCAAGAAAGACGATTATGAGCTGAATGTTTCCGGCTGTTGTAAACACATTACGAAATCTACTGAGCACTTCCCATATGCTAGACTACAAAGTAACTTATAACTGCAACATTCAATGGTAAGTTGATCTGGAAAATACACAACAATGTCTGTACCAAGAGCCAGCGATAGCTTGGACAACTATAAATACAACAATGCAAGGGCGCCGCTACACAATGAGAACAAATAGGCTCAGCTCTTCTCCCTCCCCTAAAAATTTCTAGGGGCGGGATTTCAAGTGGCATAAGCCTTGTTTAAGAGTACAACAATTATTATTTGTATGTGATGGGTGGCAAATAAATATAACATCAGAAATTATATAACACTTTGAAATATGTAAAGAAAGGCTTAAATAGAGAACTTCTGTACTTGGGGGCAGACGGGAACTTTGGCCTCCTTGCACATTTTCTGTTGTGGGTAACAGGCTTAATTTACCCTCCAGGGGGTTACCTCAAGGAACCCGAGACACCCCCACCACCTCCTTCCAGCTTCCTGCATCTCTGCAACAATGTTGAATTCACAGACTTGCCTCAACAACTATTAACAATGTTTAGTTCACAGGCTTTCTTTAGGCATGAAATTTACAGACGATGCGGCACATTACAATTTATTAAGAGTCAACAGAAATAAATAAACAAGTGTACAATGGTTGAAACAAAGGAAATTTGTTAAAAAGAAAAACCAAAACAAAACACAGCCAAACTCTACTGAAGATTACAGATGCTGATTCATGATGACTTTTGTATTTTCTGTAGCTGGAGAGCTGATAGCTGAGATTTGTCATTTGAGCTAGCAATGACTACTTCCTAGATGTCCATTCCAGGCATTTAAATAAAGTCGAACCCCCGACCCAACACATGCAACACTGTCTGTTCTAACAAATCACTAGAGCCACTGTTATCATACAGAATTATCTGAAACAAAAACCAAAAAAATCAAGTCAACAAATGAATCACATACCTGGAACTCTAGCAAACATTCAATCGTAACTGATTTTTAGTGTGCATACCAGATTTTTGTTTTTTAGCATTCACCCTTAAAATGGTGGCATGTACACTGTGTTATGGTTTACAGCTAGGCTGCGATGTCTGCACCTTTTGGACCACACATCTGATTTCAGCAAACCATAAATTAATTATCTTCTATGGTATACTTGTTGTAGGAGCAATAGCACAGGTCGAGTCTGTCCGTCCTCCTCTTTGGAATACACAAGGGTAGTGTATACCAGATAAGCCTAGGCATATAAATAAAATGCTTCATTAAATTATGCTGAGGCTTATTTTTTGTGTGTTTGTTAAAGCCTAGCATAAATCAGGGAATACTAAAAATATCTGGCCACAGTAATAACTGAAGCAGAAGGTATTTTAGCGCAGCAGACGTTAACATCTGGCCACAGTAATAACTGAAGCAGAAAGTATTTTAGCACAGCAGACGTTAACTAACATCTGGCCAAAGTAATAACTGAAGCAGAAAGTATTTTAGTGCAGCAGACGTTAACATCTGGCCACAGTAATAACTGAAGCAGAAGGTATTTTAGCACAGCAGACGTTAACTAACATCTGGCCACAGTAATAACTGAAGCAGAAGGTATTTTAGCGCAGCAGACGTTAACATCTGGCCACAGTAATAACTGAAGCAGAAAGTATTTTAGTGCAGCAGATGTTAACATCTGGCCACAGTAATAACTGAAGCAGAAAGTATTTTAGTGCAGCAGACGTTAACATCTGGCCACAGTAATAACTGAAGTAGAAAGTATTTTAGCACAGCAGACGTTAACTAACATCTGGCCACAGTAATAACTGAAGCAGAAAGTATTTTAGCGCAGCAGACGTTAACATCTGGCCACAGTAATAACTGAAGCAGAAGGTATTTTAGCGCAGCAGACGTTAACATCTGGCCACAGTAATAACTGAAGCAGAAAGTATTTTAGTGCAGCAGACGTTAACATCTGGCCACAGTAATAACTGAAGTAGAAAGTATTTTAGCACAGCAGACGTTAACTAACATCTGGCCACAGTAATAACTGAAGCAGAAAGTATTTTAGTGCAGCAGACATTAACATCTGGCCACAGTAATAACTGAAGCAGAAGGTATTTTAGCGCAGCAGACGTTAACATCTGGCCACAGTAATAACTGAAGCAGAAAGTATTTTAGTGCAGCAGACGTTAACATCTGGCCACAGTAATAACTGAAGCAGAAGGTATTTTAGCGCAGCAGACGTTAACATCTAGCCACAGTAATAACTGAAGCAGAAAGTATTTTAGTGCAGCAGACGTTAACATCTGGCCACAGTAATAACTGAAGTAGAAAGTATTTTAGCACAGCAGACGTTAACTAACATCTGGCCAAAGTAATAACTGAAGCAGAAAGTATTTTAGTGCAGCAGACGTTAACATCTGGCCACAGTAATAACTGAAGCAGAAAGTATTTTAGTGCAGCAGACGTTAACATCTGGCCACAGTAATAACTGAAGCAGAAAGTATTTTAGCACAGCAGACGTTAACATAACTGGCTCAATCTGGATACAGCACTGGCACTACATCCGTATGTGGCTCATTCAGTGAGTGGTTGGAGTTTATCAGCATCATCATCATGTAGCAGGTCCTTTGCAGAACGTAGCTCTCATCACGGCCTGCCTAAAAGAAACTCGGTCTCTCGCCAGCTCTCCCGCCTCATGTACTTACATACTCAAGGAGTCACTTATATCCTGTGCCCATCTTCGTGTCGGTCGGCCCCTGCCCCTCCTTCCTGATACCATGCCTCCTGCTAAAAAAAATTCCATTCCGTTGTGGCACTTGATGTGACCAAAATATTTCAGATTCCAGGAGAGGATGCTGTTTATTAGCCAATCTTCCCCAACAGTAGCTCACCACCCAGATGAGAGGCAGCTCAAAGTGATCTGTGGTAATGTTTTGGTTATAGAACTTACTGGCTCCCAAGCGACCCAGCCTAAAATGGGTACAAGGTAATCTCCTGGGAAGTAAAGATGGTCTGCATTATACTGACTACATCAACCATCAGGAACTGACTAGCCTATAAAAAACAAAGGTCTAGCACTATGTGCCAAAGGTGTCAAGAGGTTCCTTCCTTGACCTTAAGTCAGAATTGGGAACGATGAGAGCAGGAAATGTGTTGTCATGAAGCTGGTGTTAGGCTACATCAAGAGACAACAGATCAAATGGTTCTGGCATGTATCAAGACAGTGCATCACAGAGAACTGCCTGAGTCAGAACTGGGAACGATGAGAGCAGGAAATGTGTTGTCATGAAGCTGGTGTTAGGCTACATCAAGAGACAACAGATCAAATGGATCTGGCATGTATCAAGACAAGGCATCACAAGGAACCCCATCACTGCGACACAATGGAAGCAGAATTTGCTGATACATGCGATGAATTGATGGAATATCCCAGATCTGAATACCAGCATCTACGCAGCACACACATCAAGGCAGCCACTCCAAAACCTGACACTGACAGGTTAAACAGAGTCCAGAGAGAGGAAAAAAAAAAGATTTTTTGAGCCTCCAGTATATCAATCACAACTTGGGCAAGTAAATCTTGAATCTTTGGTCTGATCTCTCGTAATTAAATCTTTTATAGGCATTTTTGCTCTCTGTTGTAAAATTTATTGCTTGAAAATGTGACAACAAAATAAATTTGAATGAAAAGACCACATACCATGATACCACCATCTGGTTTTCTTTGGATCTTTACTGCATGTTCTAACATAAATAGCGTTGTCAGGGGGCAGTTTCTGCAACAATCATCATCATCATTCAAATAAGGCTACTCCTCCCACTCCTACAAATACTCAGTATAATGATATCGCCATTACTACTACTCCTATTAATGATCATAATCATACATTTACCCACCCGACAACTAATAATAATCAAAATAATTATACTAGATTTACTCTTCCTCAGACTACTAATAATTATCATAATGGTGATACTACTAATGCTACTTCCGTACAAATATTTCTCAAAGTCCATCTTGTGCTGGACTGGTCACCACATTTGTCCTTATCATTCTGTCCCCAGTACTGGCAATCATTTTAACAAAGAAATACATCTTGTGAGTATTGCTGCTGGAATGTGTTTTCACTGCGTTTGTTCAACGATAAATCCCTCAACAATTCTGAAAATTGCCTGGGACCCATGGCTGAATGACCGGGTCAACTCCAAGGTCTTTGTTGGGAGCGTAGTGGCTGAACACTCACCTGCTAGCTCACAGGTCTAGAGCCCATGTCTGCACTGGAATAGACTTTTGTCAAATTGATCTTGGCTCCCAGTCGACCCAGCCTAAAATGAGTAATGTCCGCAGAAGAAATGGCAGCCTCTGTGATGAGGACCATTTCAGCCACCGACTGTTAACTGCTCTATACAAATTCAAGACCTAGCATTGTATGTCCGAGGCGTTAAAGACATGAAAGGGCCCTTTACTTTTTACAAAAATCTTCTCTTGGTAATGAAACCCAAAACTACTGTCCTGGCAGCAAGGACATTAACTACACCACATAGGCTTGTGTACAGTAAGTCGAGCTAGGAACAAATAGCACACACTCTGGGCATTCCTATAAGTGCTCTGTCTCAACTTTCTGCAGCCAGAGGAGAGTTCCAGTTCTGGTGTCAGCAGTCTGATTATTTGCCCATCTTGCATTTTCCCTGAGTGTAGAGAGTGCTGACCATATTCCCCTAGTCACCCGCTGCTGCACCAGTCTCTCTACACCACAAGATCCATCCATGCTTCCACCTGCTGCACCAATCTCTCTACACCACAAGATTCATCCATGCTTCCACCTGCTGCACCAATCTCTCTACACCACAAGATCAATCCATGCTTCCACCTGCTGCACCAATCTCTCCACACCACAAGATCCATCCATGCTTCCACCTGCTGCACCAATCTCTCTGCACCACAAGATCCATCTATGCTTCCACCTGCTGCACCAGTCTCTCCACACCACAAGATCCATCCATGCTTCCACCTGCTGCACCAATCTCTCCACACCACAAGATCCATCCATGCTTCCACCTGCTGCACCAGTCTCTCTACACCACAAGATCCATCTATGCTTCCACCTGCTGCACCAATCTCTCCACACCACAAGATCCATCCATGCTTCCACCTGCTGCACCAATCTCTCTGCGCCACAAGATCCATCTATGCTTCCACCTGCTGCACCAGTCTCTCCACACCACAAGATCCATCCATGCTTCCACCTGCTGCACCAATCTCTCCACACCACAAGATCCATCCATGCTTCCACCTGCTGCACCAGTCTCTCTACACCACAAGATCCATCCATGCTTCCACCTGCTGCACCAATCTCTCTACACCACAAGATCCATCCATGCTTCCACATGCTGCACCAGTCTCTCTACACCACAAGATCCATCTATTCTTCCACCTGCTGCACACCACAAGATCCATCCATGCTTCCACCTGCTGCACCAGTCTCTCCACACAAGATCCATCCATGCTTCCACCTGCTGCACCAGTCTCTCAATGCCACAAGTTCCATCCATGCTTCCACCTGCTGCATCAGTCTCTCCACAAGATCCATCCATGCTTCCACCTGCTACACACCACAAGATCCATCCATGCTTCCTCCTGCTGCACCAGTCTCTCTACAAGATCCATCCATGCTTCCACCTGCTGCACCAGTCTCTCTACACCACAAGATCCATCCATGCTTCCACCTGCTGCACCAGTCTCTCTACAAGATCCATCCATGCTTCCACCTGCTGCACCAGTCTCTCTACATCACAAGATCCATCCATGCTTCCACCTGCTGCACACCACAAGATCCATCCATGCTTCCACCTGCTTGCTTATTTGAAGGGGACAAATCTGACACATTCATCAAGATCCAGAGCAGCCTTCCCTCCAAGGCAATTTTGTTTATAATGGTTCTGCTTGTGCACTGCTGACTCTGTGTACAGTCACAATTCTCTAAAACAAACACAGGTCACACAACTTGTCACTGACCTTTTCTTTGCAACTGGAGAGCATGCTAACTATGCTGAGACAGACAGACTGCACCGACAGTGCCGGTGACCAGTCCTCCGTCAGAATGGACAGACATATATGACCATTACTGTAGATGTGTGGGTGGACTGGAATGTTAGGCCCCAGGAACATCACCTGCACAGTCAACATTTTCAGCTGTAGGTGTTGCCATAATCAACAAAACAACCAACAAACTTTAATTTTAAATGGTCACAAATTGGGCATGCTGGCCTGTCTTACAATCATCCCTTCCAAACACTCATCCTTCACACATCAACTCTATTTTATCTTTAAATCATAGTATGTTCACAGAACCGGAGCTATTGAACTGGTGGCCTGCAGGCCAAACTGGCACATTTATTCTAGCACAGGATACAAACAAGACAGTGTCCTTGTTGTCTTTCCTGATGCCACATAGTTTGCTTTGAAGGGTTACTCCTGTGGGTCAGATTTAAACTAACTGGTAAAATCTGGGCAATCTTGAAAATATTCTGTTGAGGTTTGAGGCTTCAGAAATACACTTAACCTTGCAGTTGTTATTTAGTGTACTGGCCAGGGTTTCATTTATTTCATGTTTACAGATGACGATACTGTGCCATTTAAGTGATAAAAAACGAGCGGAAATACTAACATCTGTGTTCTAATTGCTGCTATTGATCTATGGTTTGGATGATGTTTCCTAATGTTCTAACTGCTTTTGATCTACGGTAGACGATGTTTCCAAGTTACATAACTGTATAACTTTTTATATAACTGTTCTTGACTGCTGGCAAAATTAATGGGATAACAAAGATTATTTAATAAGAGTACAAGTTTAGAAGACATAGAAACTTAGTTACTAAACAAAAATCAAGCACCAATTATTGGGTAAATATACTATCAAACATTCTTCTTTCGGTGCAAAGTCTAGACACAAAGTCATGACTTCTCCATTCTCTTGCCAATCATTGTGTTTGTTAGTTCATTTCAAAACAAAAAAATTGTAACTTGGACCTTGTTTAAGCAGCAATCAGCATCGGTTATAATTGAGGTCTTTGTTCTGTGTGGAGTTATTCTTCCTTGGTCTAGCTTTGTGGCATGTCATCAGGTTTTTCATGTCTTTGTTGTCTCCCTTGTGTCTGAAATTCTAGGGTTAGCCCTGAAAAGTGCCCGTCTACTTTGCATCTCCAAGTGGTCTCAAATGTCGCTGGCTGCTTGGCTTCACATGCATCTGTCACCTTGACAGAGCCAATGTCACTCGGTGTTGGGTTTCTGCCTAGCCAGGCCCACTGTCTCATAAGCTGACCATCAGACCACTGTCTCATAAGCTGACCATCAGACCACTGTCTCATAAACTGACCATCAGACCACTGTCGTGTCATCTGATATAAAGCTGATGTCACTCATAGCAGTATTTGTTGATCACGTTTCATCTTTCCACACATATTTTCTCCTGTTGGCCCTTCTTGCCAAGTTTATTCTTTTAAAAAAAAAAGGACTGACCTTTTATCACACTCTTCTGCCAATCTGACCCAACAATTATATAAATTCAGAAATTCACCAAATCACAAATTTTGTATTCTTGATAACAGCTTTCAATAAGCAAAAAGGTAGGATTAAAAACATACCTGTGGCGAGTCAAACGGATACCTAGAGGTAAATTTAAAACTGAGCTGGAACCGTTCCCCTTCGTACAAAGTACCGGGTGCTCCTTCAATATCAACCACCCATCTGGTGATAAGCAAACATTTACATTTAGTGAGTGTATAAAGTCAAGAAATTATGAGTTACACACATTATCCACTTAGTGTTGCTGCGATCTGTCGGGGAAGAAATTATGGGTTATATACACTACACTGTCCACTCCTGTGTTGCTGCGATCTGTCAGGGAAGAAATTATGGGTTATATACATTACACTGTCCACTCCTGTGCTGATGGGACCAGTCAGGGGAGAAATTATGGGTTATATACAATGCACTGTCCACTCTTGTGTTGATGGGACCTGTCAGGGAAGAAATTATGGGTTATATACACTACACTGCCCACTCTTGTATTGCTGCGACCTGTCAGGGAAGAAATTATGGGTTATATACACTACACTGTCCACTCTTGTGTTGATGAGACCTGTCAGGGAAGAAATTATGGGTTATATACACTACACTGTCCACTCTTGTGTTGATGAGACCTGTCAGGGAAGAAATTATGGGTTATATACACTACTCTGTCCACTCTTGTGTTGATGAGACCTGTCAGGGAAGAAAAGAAAAGTAATGCTGTAATTAACCATGTATGCCACAGAAGGGAACTAAACAAAGTTGGTTATCTCATCCCAAAGGAATGTTTAGCTGCAAGATACAACCATCAACAAGTGTCCACAGTTACTGGCTGAGAGCCAATGTTCCACTAGAAGATGAACGGCAGCAGACAATCAGAAAAGACAACATATCTTATTTGTCGACTTCATTCCCTATTTTACCACTTCAGGTGTTGATAGAGACGGGAGGTTCTGCTCTTGCTCTTCTAGCCACCTGGCTCCTATTGAAGAGTTTCTCTGGTGTTATCTGTCCATCTTGTTCATGGTCTACCTTGTGCTCTATGTTCATCTCCTCTTTAGGTGTATCCTTAATATGGCGTCGCAACAAGACATTCTCTCTAAAAGGGGAAACCAGTTTATTTACCGTGTCTGTAAGTAACTTAGAATTGGTTCTGTGCCGACATTTTCTCTTATGATTGCATTCCTCATTTTATCTCTTCTGGTCACTCCTGCAGCCACTGACATCTTATTTCCATGATTACTAATTTTCTTTTATGGTTTGTTGTGGGTGACCATGTTTGGCACTTGCAGCGTAGAGTGGGGATGAAAACGCTTGGTATGATATTTCTTTGTGCTGACTGGGATTATCTCATGGTGCAGGAGTTGAGTTGTCCCATTACTAGAGTTGCCCCATTACAAGAGTTGTCCCATTATTAGGGTTGTCCCATTACTAGAGTTGTCCCATTACTAGAGTTGTCACATTACTAGAGTTGTCACATTACTAGAGTTGTCACATTACTAGAGTTGTCCCACTAATAGAGTTGTCCCATTACTTGGTTGCTTTACTGCATCAGACAAACAGAAAACAGACTTCACTATAAGAGATCAAGAACCTCAGCTAAAGTCTTCTTTGCTTATTCAGATTGAATGCCACTATGTAGTTCTTTTAAAATTCTATACCATTACAAATCTAGCTTTGGTAAAGCCCATTAACTTACTCTTGGACATTAATGCAGTGGCTTTTCCTAGACTTCCGCATGAATGAAAGATATGACAATGATGTGACTGCTCAACTGCAGGAAGATTTTTATATCTAGTGGATTCTGTTAGTACAGCTGTGACCTACCATTACATTTTACAACAGCCAAAGATCATAAATGTATTTAGTATACACATGGGGCCTTTGATCTTTTCATCCTTGTCCAAGAAGACCAGATATTTATATCATGAACAACAAAGTTGTTGAAAACAGGGATGACAACAAACAAGCTGATAATGAAAACGAGTGACCACAAATCAGAACAGGGAAGCTTAACAAATGACTAGCATAATTATCTGAATTAAGTTACATTAAAAACAGGAAGCATGGGAAACGAAACAAAGCAGGAAGGAAAAAGGCAAATATGGAGATAAGGTATGAAAATATCATGTGATTTGTATATCTGTCCTTGTCCACCTTAATGTAAAGATCTAATTTGTATTTTGGCCAAATCTCTGACCCCAGCCTTGTTGTATATAGGCTGTACTCATTGACTGTCTAGATGAAACTAGTAAGACGCTCCCGGGAATTAAACCTTGGACATCCAGTGTAGGAGCAAGACGTGCTACCATGGGTCTTTGATTAAACCGGTGTACACACCCATACACAAATAACAACATACTGACACCAACAAGCTTTTTGCACTCAATCAATGAGCTTGAGTGATACCCGCAAGCTCCTGTACTCAATCAATGAACTTGAGTGATACCCGCAAGCTCCTGTACTCAATCAATGAACTTGAGTGATACCCACAAGCTCTTGTACTCAATCAATGAACTTGAGTGATACCCGCAAGCTCCTGTACTCAGTCAATAAACTTGAGTGATACCCGCAAGCTCCTGTACTCAGTCAATGAACTTGAGTGATACCTGCAAGCTCCTGTACTCAATCAATGAACTTGAGTGATACCCACAAGCTCCTGTACTCAATCAATGAACTTGAGTGATACCTACAAGCTCCTGTACTCAGTCAATGAACCTGAGTGATACCCACAAGCTCCTGTACTCAATCAATGAACTTGAGTGATACCCACAAGCTCCTGTACTCAATCAATGAACTTGAGTGATACCCACAAGCTCCTGTACTCAATCAATGAACTTGAGTGATACCCGCAAGCTCTTGTACTCAATCAATGAACTTGAGTGATACCCACAAGCTCCTGTACTCAATCAATGAACTTGAGTGATACCCACAAGCTCCTGTACTTAATCAATGAACTTGAGTGATACCCACAAGCTCCTGTACTCAATCAATGAACTTGAGTGATACCCACAAGCTCCTGTACTCAATCAATGAACTTGAGTGATACCCACAAGCTCCTGTACTCAATCAATGAACTTGAGTGATATCTACAAGCTCCTGTACTCAATCAATGAACTTGAGTGATATCTACAAGCTCTTGTACTCAATCAATGAACTTGAGTGATATCTACAAGCTCCTGTACTCAATCAATGAACTTAAGTGATATCTACAAGCTCCTGTACTCAATCAATAAACTTGAGTGATACCCACAAGCTCCTGTACTCAATCAATGAACTTGAGTGATATCTACAAGCTCCTGTACTCAATTAATGAACGAGTGATATCTACAAGCTCTTGTACTCAATCAATGAACTTGAGTGACACCCACAAGACAAGAAATACTTACTCTGACAAACTGGAACTTAAACTGTTTGTGTTTACACTGACGCCGGCAGGGGGATCTTTTGTCATAGCCTGAAGTTCTTTCTGCAGTCTTTTCTGAAAGTTCATACAACAGACAAGTTACTGATGCACACTGTTCAGTAAATAACATCCTCTGGTATTATATTCATCAAGTAACAGCCTTTGGTATTCACTTGTTTCATTCTAATGTGTATGCAGTCACTCAGACCTACATGAAATCAGAGAGAAGACAGGACAGATGGACTGTTGTGTTGTTCTTATTTAACCCAGAGGTGTACATCAATCATGTGTTTCCCTCCTACCCTCTGACTTGTGCCTTTCATCTCGCATGAGGAACAGGCCTTCAAGGAAGTCATCTGTAGACCTGACTAGGGATTTTGCTGCCAGATCTTCTACAGTTGGGGTGGCTAAACTTGTTTGACTCGCTGGCTTCTTTTAATTTAATAATTTACAAAGAACTGACTTTATAGACAAAAATTATTAAGCAGACTGGGGAAGGTGGGAGGGGGATAAAGGCTGAAACTGTGGAAACAAGTCTGTAGCTGTGAAAACAAGTCTGTAACTGTGAAAACAAGTCTGTAACTGTGGGAAACAAGTCTGTAACTTTGGAAACAAGGCTGTAACTGGAAACAAGTCTGTAACTGTGGAAACGAGTCTGCACAGTTTATAAGCATCTGATAGGTACTAAACTTTTATATAAACAGTAAACACTGCAATTAAAACAATGTCCTTTACTTTTCAAAAGATAGTTGACCTTCTTCCAGAAATGGGACATGGCATTTGGTCAATAGGTTTCTTCTTCTTCTTCTTCTTCTTCACTTCCTCTGTTACCGCTGTGAGTGTCGAGGGAGATATGAGGTTCTGTCTCTAGCTCTTCTGGCCGCCTCGACCATAGGCACATCGTGCTGTTGTAGAGCTTCTCTGATGTTATCCTTACATAATGTTCTTGGTCTACCTCGTGCTCTACGTCCTTCTTCTCTTTCCATGTATGCTTTGTATGGTATGGTGTCACAAGGCATTCTCTCTAAGTGGGCAAACCATTTCACATACTGTCTTTGTAATTTGGAATTGGTTCTGTGCCGACTTTTTTTCTTATGATCTCATTCCTGATCTTATCTCTTATGGTCACTCCGACAGCCCTTCTCAGACATCTCATCTCCATAATAGGTTTATCATGCTGAAAATGAGATAACTGAACCTCACCAGCAGGCAATCACATGATCATCAGTTATTAGGTTCCTCTCATTAGATGATGTCACATTCATTGCAGAGAACGCTGGCTGATTCACACAGATTAGGTAGATCCCATAAATGCTATCATATAAAATGCCACCTTTTGAATACATTGCAGACCATTTGAGGCGATCTTTGACATGGTAAATTTCTGTTTAGAAGAACAATGTGTTAATCCCTGGCAATTTTTCTTTCAACTCTCATCTGGATACAAATAATTTCTGATAAAAGAACCATTTGTTGGTTCCCTGGTGACTTGTCCTTATCAGGTCTGAACTGTATTTGGTTATGATTTATCTGTCAGTAATTTCTAGAACTCGGGAAATCGCTATCAATAGCTCTAGTCTTTTATGATAGAAAGTATTTCCACATTATAATTAAACCATTGAAAAGAAGCTCTCCAGTATTACAAAAATCTTCTCTGACAACCTTGCCATCATCAAATGTTTTTCTCATTTAATAATAACTGACAATAATAAAGGATGCTAATGTCACTACCTGTGTTCGACTGTCAGGCTTCGTTGATCACTGATTTAAGATTAGTAACAAGCCATTCGAAGTTCACTACCCATAGTAAGTTCAGAGTTCTGTAGCAAAATGTCGTTCACCATAATAACTCCTATTCACTACTATTACAATACTATACTTAGTATACTATTAATACAATTATTAATACTATTATAATAATAATGATAAGTCTGTGGTTTTTCTTAATGTCTCCTGAATGACTGACTGATTCAGACTAAAAGCTTTCGCAAAAAAAAAAATGTGAATTTTATTTAAAAAAACTAGTCTAGTGTAGCAGAGAATTACAGTTAAGTATAAGATATCTTCAGAATGTTACGAAAATGTAAACTTACCTAACTAAATCTATCATTACTCATTACTATTTATCAACTATGCCTCTCTATATATTTATCTATTTTTATTAGTGTGGTCCTCTGTTTAGCCACACAAATAACCGTGCGCATTTTATCTAAAGGACAGCTTGCACATACAACCTGATTAGTTTCTAACAAGCCTGTGAGCTGATAAAGTGGAACAATCTGAGAGAGAAGCGGATCTAGCCGAGGACAGAAGCAAAATCTACTTACTTCCATGGAAGTCATCTTGGGCTGCTTATTGGCTGGCCAGCTGCACGTTGCCGTGCTCGGCCACTTTCCAGCCATCTAGATCCGGATTTTGGCACAGAAAGGTTAAACGTGTTGGAATATTCTGTTCCGGATCTTCCGACCTGCTGCCCACAGTCTTGTGCACTCACCTTTTCTATTCACTGTTTCATGGCCGTATACTCATTAACGACTAAACATAAACTGTCCCCCTTGAAAAATCTTGGGAGGAAAAAAAACAAGGGGCAGTGTCCGAGGAACCAACGATGCCAGCATCAAGAGCATACAACATGAAAATCGAAACACCAAGAGGCAGGGGAAGACCAAGAAGAATATGGATTGAAGGAGTCACTGACAACTTGAGACTTCATAACATCACGGCATATGAAGCGACTGAGCGCGCCCTGGCTCGGTTGCCGATCATCTGGTAGACTGCGACGCCTAGCGGCACAAGCAGATTTTGACAAAAGAAGAAGAAGTGTCCGAGTTCCCTGTTTCTGGCGGTATGGTTGATATGCTAATAGTCTGTATACTAACTTCCAGGTGCCATCGGAAAGCTGCTGTTACTGCCCTACCTCCAGTCTCATACTGGATACTGTGACATTATAGTATACGCGAGGCACTGTTTTCTGTTTCCATTCACCTTTGCGATAAAACCCACCACCCTTTTAAACTCTTACTACAGATCCATCTATGTATATAATAATGCCACCTGGGCGTGAATTTGCATTAATCACATGTTGCACCAATACATCTGTTTCACCAGAGATCCATTCCAGGTATCTTGGGTCCAAAGTTACTCCCCTCTGTGCTGCTTGGCGGCACTGTGATAATTCCTCGTCATGCGCTTTTGTATCAGAGGTGCAAAGATGTCTGATAGTAACTTCTGCCTGTGCCATCAAAGAGCTACCCCTCGTCTCCAAAAATCCTATTATTTAACGAACACCACAATGCTATCACCTTGTCTGGGTTACCAGTAAAAGCTGCTCCCTTATACCACACACTCACCGTGCCTACCGCCGTCTGAATTTCTCTAGATAATTCTATTATATTTATCCTTTCTCAGGTCAAAGCGACAAGATTGATTTCACTGCACCTTGTTTTATCCAATATGGCTCGGTCTCTCTCAGTAGACTGGCAGCCGCCTGTCGAAAGCGTCGCACAAAGGATGAACTCCGTAGCTACAGCAATGAAACCAGAGAACTTCTAAAAAAAAAACAGCACTTGTGAACTGAAGGATCATCGTCATCGATTTCCACTTTTACCGTTAAGCGTTGTGTGTAGCAACAGTTTGCGATCCATTGCTTGGTGAGCAGCAATAGCAATTGGAACCGACGAATGCATCAGTGAAATGAACTCCCGATCTACAGAGCTCGTGGCAAACGGCTTAACCATTTGGCAACATGTTTATACGAAGTCTTTGACTCGGTCTACTCAAATACAAATATGTTCTTTGCAATTATCCTGTGCCAAAAAAAAAAATATATTTACCATCTTTCCTTCTGTTTATGCTTATGTTTCTCGTGTCAATACTCATGCTGCAGGGGGTTGGTCTCATCATTAGGTTTCTATCTCTTGGGCTTGTACAGAGTAGATATCGTATAGATATCTCATTCAAACTATCATCAGAATATTTCTGCTTCCTCTTCTTCCTGACAGCCTGTGCGTGTTTGAAGAAAGTACCCGCACAAAAGGTGTCAGCCTGGCTCTCATTCTATCAGGCATAGGTTCACAAACAAAGGCTTGTTCTTTCTCATTGGAAGGTGAGTTGACCACATCACTTCTATAATATTTACAAATTCTTAAATAGGGGACCCCAATGCAACTGGTTGAGCTGCTAAATCTTAACAATATCCACAGAAATCACTTCATTCATACAAGCAGTCCAGCTGTTTTACGCTTTCTTTCAGCCCTATCTCTTTAATCTCATTGCTAGAATATGCAGTTCCACCCAGCATTGTTACAAAAAACCTCTTTGAAAATCTCAGCATTCTCAAGCATGTCTTGTTAAGATCACCCACATTAATGACTAGCTGGCGGGACTTGGTAACTCATGTGTCTTCTGTTTGTAGTGCACACCGTAATGATAATATTTCGGGAAACAGTTTAACTACCCCAACTCCCCCGTCGGTAAGAAGAAACTCAACAAGGGAGCATGTACAGCAGGAGTCTACCAATCCTCAGTAGAAGTGATCCCTCGTCCATAATTGTTTCGGCCCACGAGCTCCTTGACAATTTCAGAGGGTGGACCCACCTAAGTTCATGAAGCTCAGGCTTGATCTGCTCCTGCTGCACGTATTATCGGATGTTCTCGGACAGGGACAAGACGAAAATTGTGACTATGAACGGGTAGATTAGAACACCGTCAGAAAACGTTACAATGACCACAGTACGTAATGCCTGCGTTGCCGTTATACTGGCTTTGCACGTACTGAATAGAACTGGCCAATGACAGATCCGGGAGGGAGCCCACATACGATATTACAGGGTTCTTAGCTCGAGCCTAATTAAGGGCACTTTTACATGCCTTAAAGCGTACTGAGTATAGACGAACGTTAACTTGTTCAGTCCCAAACAGCGCATAGTTTGTAATGTGATCATCCGTGTGAGTCATATCCAAGGAATAATGTGTGTGTGTGTTTTACGTTTTAAATTTGGTTAAGCCACATACCAGAAATCTGGCTATCCAAGTGGTCACTCCGATGTGTTCGGTCTTTGTCTAGCACTCACAGTTTTTGTCTCATCTGGGAAATTGCAGCTAAGTCCTAGTTAAGAATCCCTTGAACTGCCAGAGTAACTAACGAGGATTGTTTGCAAGAAGCAAACGAAAAAGATCAATATATACAGCTATAAGGAAAAGACAAGCACTCGACAGCTGCAATCCAACTGACGACCAAGGGACAGACCTTCATATCCAGTAAAACGTCATATCTATCCCTGTTGTATGCACCTTTCAGATCCCCTGATAACTCTTTTCTAAGTAATGTTGAATTAGGATTCGACATCACAGCACTCGGGACACCCACATAAGCGCTCCGTCTCCATCTTCAGCAGCAAGCGAAGAGTTAAAATTATGATGGTAGCAGTAACTCCCTGATTGTATATTCGTCTCGCCTTTCTCCTGAGTGTCGAGAGACACCCAGATTCCCTTGTAACTCCTGCAGTGTCAATCTCCTCACACCGTAATTATCTATCTGTGCCTTGGCACTGTTTACTCGCCATCAAAGGGCCATAAAACATCCAGCTTGTTATACATCACCACCAAGTGGCGCAGAACCGGCCAGTCTATCTGCCCACACACCGGCATAGCCTGGAGAAAATATCCAAAGGATACGAACCTTGCCACTCTGCACAGAGCACACCTGTCTCCACCTTTCTCAACATGCTCTGTGAGTCAGTTACAATCACGGCCTGTGTGTACAGCTGATTCTCAAGACAGCAGAAAGCGGCAGTGACTGCCTCCACCTCCATTCTCAAACTAGACATTGTGATATCATATGCCAGGCTTTGCTGCACCAAGCGACGTCAATTCGCCTTCGATTTGAACCCCCATGCACTTCGACTGCCCCCAATACAGAGCCATCAGTATAGACAATCACATCACCTGGGCGGGAATTGTCATGAACCATTTGTTGAACTTCTGATTCTACAGCACCAGCTGACCAGTCCCTGCACTCACGTCCCAAGGTGATTAGAACCATTATAAGAAGACATAGCCATATTCTCCAACCATGTCAAAAATGTTTTCTGTTTAAGTTTCTGTTTATACGTATATTATTTCAAAGATATTATTATATTTGTTCAATTCCGTACCTTATCATCATCATTGTTATTATTAGGTATCATCAGAACTGGAATCTTGCGTTCCTGCTGAAGACGGGGATGGGGTGGGGTGCGGCTCTCTATTATTATTATTATTATTATGAAACACTTAAGGCTTAGTCATTCGAGTTTCCCTCCGCCAGAAAATTGTAAAGCCCCCCCCCCCTTTTTCCCACGAATATTTTCTTTGTGTCAGCGCTACCGCCACCACTATCCCACCCTATAAACAAATCATGTTTAAAGGAATGCACTGTATCTATGTTTTTCTCACTGACATAGGATTGACAGACTCACGGGTGACGATTGAGTTTGAGACAATGCGACAGAAGACAGTCAGTCAGAGGGGAGTCACTGACATCAAGATGAAAGACGTAAAGTGGAGAGACACAGACAAACGAGGAGAGACTACGACAATAAAACAAACAAAAAAGAAGAGGGAATACCGGCACAATAAAAGGGGAGACAGGGAATAAGATGTAAGATCCAGACAATAAGATGAAATACCCAGACAATCAGAGAGGAAACACAGATATTAGGAGGGAAGATCGAGACAGTAAAATGAAAGACCAAGACAATACGAGGAAAGACTAAGACAATATGAGGGAAGACACAGACAAAAAGAAGGAAGACCCAGTTTAAAGCTTTAACATGGGTAGCTGAGCAAACCGCCATACAGACAGTTATTATTTCAGACTCCAAGAATATGCTTCAGAATATAACAACAGGCAGTATGCGCTCTGAAGGGGTAGAAATCATTCGAAAATCGTACTTAACCTCCGTAACCTGGATCTACACACCGGGTCATGCGGGCGTAAAGGGAAATGAGCGAGCGGACAAAATGGCAAGCACTGCACTAAGGACTGCCGTAAAAAGCATGGACAAAGCAGATATCGTCAATGCTGTACGGACTGGGCTAGTGGACAATGAGGACGAATCCTTGACACTAACACGATTGCGTGATATGGGAGTACAGCATGGTGAAGCACGTCTTTGCCGTCTTCGAATCCGAGATAGGAGACATTATAACCAGCTTTTTATGGGAACAATTACTAGAATTACTTTGGAGTGTCTGCAGCATCGGAGGACTGAGAACGCATGGGAATATCCAATGTGCAGTGACGTCTACTATGATAACATAACATCTTGTAGGGAGTCGGCAGTCCGAAGCCAAAGTTCAA